AAGTTTGAACCCGTCACGTTGTAGAACGAATAAAGAGAGTACATTAAGAGTCTGGCTAGTGGCACTTCTCATCATCTTAAAAGAAACTTCGGAACACCGCCTCGTGTACTGTGATTTTACAGCTGTAACAAGGTCTCCGGTTGGCGAATCCTGCGGCCGCGTATTTGCGAACGCGCTAAGAAGGAAACAGCTCAGTACATCAGTCCACTGGATGCAGTGTGAGACCAGTCAGCTCCCAGCGCGTGCCCCGAACGGGGGTCCCATTAATTCCCTTCCGCTCGCGGGAACTTCCTTCCCCCAACCGATTTACCGCTAATGTCGAGAGCTAAGACGCATCTAACGGAAATCCTGGATGGGTCAACCTCCAGTCCAATGTACGGGTCCACAGAGAGAGATTCGGTGCCAAAAGACGTCTGCCTTAACCTTTCAAATCCGTACCACCTGCAATGACACTACAAATGCTCTGCAGTTTGCCCACGCAGTGTATCTGTGTGTTCCGTATGGTTCTCACAATAAACAGCATGAACCGCGTGGTCGTTGTTATGGAAACATGATGTTCCCTGCGAGGTACAAGTGCTGGCGAGGACTAGCAGCAATTTACCCCACACGACCATTGAACGATTTAATATTCTTTACAAAGGCATTATGGTTTCCTTCTCCACTCTAGCCCTTCGAGATTGCAACTGATCTAAAAAAATGTTTAAGAATTCAGTTCCTGCCTAACAGGAAACATTGTCTCCATTATAAAGACCAACCGGTTAATGCTGTCTACGGAAATAATCGCTGTTCAAGCGAACGGCTGCAACAAGGAAAAAGTCAGTGACATTCCAGTCACCTGACGCTCAAAGCCCACGCCACTGTCAACACAGTGAGGGTGGTACTGCCCTCCAACTGAAGAGACACTTCAGCTGCCTTCAGAAACTCGAGCCATCTCATCCCAAACTGTGTACACCCATCTTCCTGCGCGGCAAGAGAACATAAATTAGGCCTCTCCTGGGTTTGTTCGTAATAATGAGGCACACGGATGTACGAGGTGTATCGGAAAGTTCCCGGACTAGGTCAAAAAATTAATTCTGGCTTAACTTACTCGATTTTCGCTGCTATCTCCTTCAAAAGGCATGTCTGTCTAAAACATCTCTAAGAATACGGCACAGCTTGGGTGGGTAACCCAACAGAAGAAAACCCTAAATGAGATTTCTGGTAAGGCGATTCGGTTCTCTTCACATGTTGGAAACATAATCTGGTTACTTTCTAACGACAATATAAGCAACACAGTCAATAACTGATTATGACGCAACCTCAAGATGTTTAAGCACAACATAATAACAAATTTTTACGTTTATTTTTGTAAAGGAAGTAATGCCACGCCACGTGAATGCTGTTGGACATAACTTCTTGAGAAGCTAAGAGTTGCTCACATAATCAAGAAATTTCCACGCCTTTTATTGAATTCAAATATTCATTATCGTGCTCACAAGATCCCACCTTAACGCCATGGAACAGAAACTAACAGTTTCTCAGCTACCACAGATAATCATTGGCCTTTATGGAATTCTGTGAATCATTACCGTGTTCACAAGATCCTACCACTCGCTTCTATCTTGAGCCAGATGAATCCAGTCCACATCCACTCTACCATTTATGATCGATCTGAATATTAGGACCCCCCCCCCCAAATCGTTCCATCTAATGTCTAGGTTCCCATGTGCGGTCTCTTCTCCTCCGGGTTTCGGACTAAAATTCATCTCATCTTACCCTCTCGTGACACATGCCCCGCCCATCTCATCCCCATCAGTGTGACCCTCAAATGGCACATGAGGGGTACAAATCATGGAACTTCGTTTAGCGTCTCCGTTACTTCCTTCCTCTTCAGCGGGGATAGCTCAGTAAGTATGGGTCTTACGACAGAAAATCTGGGTTCGAATCGCTACCCCGTCCCGACGGGGAAATCTGGTACCGATTCATCCTCAGCTAGTGTCGGAAGTTAAGAAAGCTCCACAAGTTTCACACCTCTTCTAAGTTGCGAGACCAGGTTCCACTTGCATGAACACTGCGTGTCCCACACAGTCACACCGGACAGCTGTAATGACGTCTACGCTGGGGACGGATGTGGGCTGAGACGCGTGGCAGGGTATTTTGGGTACCGTCCCGAGCGCCTGCCTTGGGAGAGCAACAGAGAAACTGACGCTCATCCTTCATGGTATTATATATTGACATTAGATGGAAGACATTAACCAACGTTTAGTTATTTTTTAATCGATCGAAATTCAAATCTGCGTTTACGTTAATCACGGATGAAAATAGTGTGCTGCACTGGTATACACTTGTAACGCTCTTTTCTTCGGAAATTTTCTTGCGTTCGCTGGCGAGGGAGCCCCCCAGCTTCTAAACTGTGTGTTTGCTGCCCACTCCTATAAGAAACGCAGCTGGCCGACCACGGTACAATTTAGTTTAATACTGTGGTCTAGTGGTCAGCGATCCTGGCTACAGATCCAGAGGTCCGGATTCGATCCCCGACGTTACAAGATTTTCTGAGAAGTAGTGGCTCTGGAACTTGGTCCACTCGACCTCGTGAGAATAATTGAGGACCTATTTCAAGGAAATGTCGGCTCCGGTCTAGAAAACCGAAATTAATGGCCGTGGGGATTCGTTGCACTGACCATGCGACACCCTCTATCCTCAAAAGTTGGCACTAAACTTCGCTGACAAGCGGCGGTCGTTCGGTCGGTATAGTTCGCTTGCGGACTAAAATCACGGAGTTTTGATCAATATTAATGAGATCTTAAATAAATAACGTTCAAGATTAAATCCGAACTCCTTCAGCGTTCTTCGAGGATCGACTTCCGCCCACATAAGTTAAATTTGAGTGGATCATGTTCCTGGCGCCCTGTTTGCCGCCACTTTCACGTGCATCACCTCTATCCCGCCACCTGCAGCAATGCAGAGCTACTCTGCATCACACGAACTTCAGCAACCTGAAACATGAACTCTAAGACTAGCGCAGGTGTTATTTCACGTCACACAAACACACGCCATTATTATTTTCGTTGCCTGCAGTTCTATGAGTTAACGTCTGCTAACACCACGACGAAACTTCGCGTATCTGCTGCGGAATGACAATTTATTTGTGTCACTGCGCTGTCTGAAATACACAAATACACATTAAACGTGTCCCTTTCCTTGTTATGATAATAATACTGTATACGTACGAGCCAATTTAAAGAAATGAGCAGAAAAAAATACGAAACTAAATAGCAAAATGCTAAAAAAACAGACGGCGGCCTTTTCTACTCAAATGAATGGCATTTCTCGTCGCAAACAAATTTGCCACAATTCACTTTCCTTATGCAAAATAACGTGCGCTGACGGCTATGCTTGCTATCAGCTGCAGCATCAGCGAGAGAGGTGCGAAATAAATGTTACAAGAGCAGGTGGAAAAGGGTAGTCACGGGATGCGAACGGAAGTATATTTTTTTT